ACCACCGGTGGTACACGTGGCCTGACGATCAAGTTTACCGTGTACCACCGGTGGTACACGTGGCACGGAACGTGTTAAGGATGCGGTAACGTTAGCGGTTGGGGCTCGTGTGGGTGGATGAAAGAGGAGAGAAGAAAGAGAAGAAGCTGGGTCAGGAAACGCAGGATCGCCAGATGCCGAGGGTAATTAAATCGCCGCAAACAGGAGCAGAACCTTTCACGTTGCTTGACGGATGGCAGCCCTCGGGCTGCTACTATTTTCGAAGTTCCTGCGTGTCATACAGCACGCGAATGAAGGTTCCATTTCTTATACTCGTTTTTAAACAGACAATCAAATTTCAAAAATGAAAAGTTTGTAGATTTTTGTAGACAGAACAAAATGAAAGTATTTCATGCTTTGTTGTGAAAATCTTGTTAAGGAAGATTTGCTCCGGACTGTACATGACGCGGTTATTGAATGTCACGTTACAGCCAGATGTCGATGGCAATTAAATCGTTGACTGAACTTCCGTCGATCTGACATTAGACGGGTTCTCGTGTTTCGTCGGTCCAACAAGAAACAGGAAGGACACATCCGTTGAACGGAAGAAAAAACGACACATTCGGGAAGGTCTAAAGATGATCTATATAAAGAAAATTCGATCTCTGTTCACATTTTTTAGCCGTCACAATCTGCGAAGATAAAATGAACATAGATATGTGACACAGTATGCGATAGGATCAAAGTGTTAATTTGATTAATAAAAGGGAGAACGATAACGGAAGCGAAGGAAATCGTTGAATTTCGAAGATGCCTGGGAACAAGGTTCCCGCCAATTTCTTAAAGTGTGCTCGAGGCAGTGTAACGGCCGTTGGTCCGAGATACCTCGAAAGTGGCAGGTGCAACCTGGGCCAAACTTCATTAAACATAATCCCATCTGCGCCCTCATACTTTCAAAACGTCTTGCCATCGTTGCTGTCCCAAGACGAAGAAAGAAGAGGAAGAACTGGAAGCTCCAAAACTGTCGGTTAACGCATTTCAATCTTTTTTTGCGCTTAAACGGACGTGGCACAATTTTGATGGGATCATCTTCGACGTAAATCTGAAGTTTTGTAGAACTCTTATTCTTCTGGTGGTCGAAAAGCTCTTGTTTAGCTTGCTGGTATTATCAAGGTTTAGGTCTATCTTTAAGGTGTTATCAGGTTAGGTCTATGACGGAAAGGTTTCATGAACGCTCATGTTATGCAAATTTGAAGCTACTTAGCCCCTTGCACTATTTTGCCGAGTCAGACTCGTAACGCACTCGTACTTCGGCCGTGATCAATTTTACTCGAATTTTTAGTACGCTTCAATTTGAAGTTCAAGTCCAATTGTAATTTGCATGGTCAACGATTGTATAACATATTGACATAACATTTCAAATTTTTTTGTCTGTATTAATATTGTAGCTGTAATTAGTTCTGACTGACGCACTTGACAAATAAGCTATAGTGCAAGGGGTTAGTTAATAGTCTGTATATAAAATTAATTATCGATAGCAACGAATGATCAGACTGACTGCAACGTTAAGTAATTTCTGAAATATATTGTTCGCATAAAAATTTCGGGAAAGAGCACTTCACTATTGAAACTTATAGCTTGACCAAGTTGGCCATTTAATATAAAATGGCCGACGCAGCCATTTTATAGGTTGACCAAGATGGCCATTTAATATAAAACGACCGACGCAGCCATTTTATAGCAAACTTATAAGCTTAACAAAAATCTGGTCAAGTTTCTGGTTAATGTGTCTTGAATTCAAACGAACTACACGAAAGTAAAATATAAAAGGATTTCTTACCTATTTAGCATTTGACTTTCCCTTTAAAGATTTTTATGAACCCTACTCCTGCAGATGTCGAAAAGTGTCAGAGTCAGATACCGAATTTTCACAGGGAAGAGAGTATTCTTGTAAAGGACCAGACTTGGTAGTTTATGGAACTCGTAGGAAAAGGGATCCTGGTCGAACAGTTTCGGTTAAAACACAAATCGTTTCTTGGAAGGAAGATGTAGCCACGTGGCAGATCCTTCTGGCACGCGTGCCTTCTTTTGGACCTTCAAGATTTATCGATATCCGGACACCGTCTGCCGACGTGAGACGAAACAGGATACGAATCCAAAATTTCACCATTATCGATTCGAACCATCCTTGTCCCAATTATCGAAATTTACCTTTACTTTAAACTCGTATATTTCTTATATTTAATTCGCTGTTCGAATTTGCGTAACTCCGCGTCTTGATGGTAGTTTTGTTCTCTAAAATAACAGTGTGGAATCAAGGGTGAATTTGGGGATGTGGTAATACGGAGGTTTAGTAATCTGGTAAAGTAGATATTTGAGGATTTTGGGATTTGAAGATATCGAGAGCTCCGGAGTTCGTAGTCCATGTCATTCGTAACAAACCTACTTTGCAGTCTAATAAATTTGTGTTATACATCATAAATAAATTCCATCGTAAATAATTTTCAATGAAGATTACAAGAATCTGCGATAAGAATAGCGATCGAAGCAAACACCATACCGTGCACCGAGCGGCACAATGCGATTGAAAGGAACACTTGCCAGACTACTAAAGGACCCAGGAAAAATCGTCCCTCCCTATTTTCCCATGAACTTGCCGTCTTCGAGCAAAAGGTGGTGCTTAGGTATTTTCCGCAGCTTACGATCGGCAGGACATCGTAAAAGACGACCCAGGCTCGAGGAACGAGGTGCATAATAGGGTTTCCAAGACCTTTAAACTTTAAAGGGACGACCCTCGAACAGCTGACGCGTTTTAAGGTAGCCAGGTATTCGTCTGATAAATTTTATACGCTTTCAAAAGATTTTACGCGACGAAAAGGTGACGAAGACGCTCGAAAAGGGCGGGAAAACGCGTCTGCTCTGCAATTATTTCAACTATCGTAACTTTCGTGAGAGAAGAGCTACGATGTATAATTTAAGGCGTAATCGTGTAATTTGATCGGTTTAAATTAATTTTAGGCACTTGTTAAAGTAAAGATTATATGGTACGGTGTAATAATTAATTTTTTACCATTTGGAGACCTGAGGGGGACAGGTTATTTAAAGACTTAAATTGAAGAGTGCCCTTTAAATTTAATAACCGTGTACCTTCGAGCCCACCGGAATACGAGTTCATAAATCTCGTTTTTGTTCGAAATACACAGTTAGGCTTTTATTGATTTCTAAGAAGGTCTCAGGTAAATGATTTCTAAGTATTTGCAAAACTGGTCATTTAAATTCTGCTTAATGATAGTCAATTTCTGTACTGTCACTTCATATTTAAATTTAAAATTCATATCGTTACTATTCCAGATGTTACTATACAGATGTATAATAGTTTTTTCTCAAAATAGAATTTCTTTCGTTTCTATGAAAAATGGAGCTAGTTGATTAACGTGGGAAGCAGCGATGTATTTACGGGGGTGAATTCGAGCCATTTTCTAGCAGCTAATAGATTTTTCTAATAACTTCGGTTCCCACGATAAACTTTACGTCCGATGCTCGATGATCGTAAATATTCGTGCAGGCAAATTAACGCTGATTATCGTGGATTTTATGACGGCATCTGCTGTTCGTGATATGATATCCAGGTGCTAAATAGGGGGTGTGTCCAATCTTTGATAATATTTCAACCGGAATCGCCATGAAATACGATCCCTTTCCGGCGATGTACGCAGCGAAAAACAAAAGAGATAAAAATTAACCATCTTCCAAAATGGAAATTCAAGAATTTGGAATTTTTTGGAATTTTCAGAATTTTTAGAATATTTTTAAATATTGAAATCTTGAAACTTTTGGGTTGATTTCAAAATTTCGGGATGTTTGAACATTGGAACTTTGCAAAAGTATTTATATTTTGTTATACGAGGGTAGAAGCCACCCTTCAACGGCAACCCTTATTAAATAACAAGCCTTCACTATTAGTCCCATCTTTATACCTAAATATTCATTATTTCCAGCACACAAAATTTCGCGATTTTTGCATTTAAATCGATTTCCGTTCGCATGAACATGCACATTCACCAGGTAAACAGATAATTGGGGTGGGCGTAACCGTGACGGGACCTAAAGGGTCGATGCATCGAATTGTTTCGTAAAACGGGCTAATTAATGACTACTTTCCCAGCACCATATGTGACCATACTTACACATCTACATGTCACAAAAATGCAACCACAATCGCACAGTCAATAGGAAAAATGAAACAATAGATATTGTTGAAAAGTTATCTGAATAGGGAATCATAGTTTTTCGAGCACCTGGCTTTTAAACCATTTTATTCGTCATTTACAATTATACAATTTACCTTTATCAAATGTTAAACCAAACGTTATTATTTTGTTATTAATGAAACAGAGAGTGTATGTACTTTTGGAGCTTCTTAACTCAGAAATTTAACTTGGTATTTAAAATGTCCCCCAAGGACAACCGAGTGTTAAAATTTGTGATATTAATACTGTAAGAGCTTGAACGCAGTATTGTATCCAAATTGTCATAATTTATTCACAACACATTTACAGAAATACGTACACTAAGTTTCGATTATGTCGGCCTTCTCCTCTTCAGGTACCACATGACTCCATATCCTAGCAAACCCGCGAGAATGAGACCTCCTATAATACCGCCGACGATTGCACCAACATCGCTGCCTGATTCTTCGGTTTCGCAACTCTCCACTACAAATTGCGAATTATTAAAATAAAAATTATCACTCGAGTGATTTATGAACTTTCATAAAGAAATTATTTAAGAAGACTACTGTTAGAACTCATTTTACCTGCTCTCGTTGCTACTATCTTGTCAGTATTGAACGCGATCAAAGACATCTCGCTGATAGTCACATCGACGCGTTCAACTTTTTTTGTGATCTTAGGAGCACATTTGTACAGCTTACTCACGGAGGAAGTGAATACATTAGCATCTTGGGAAAATGCCACGGCTCTCTGTTTTACTAAAATTAAAGTTTCGAAATTAATATTCTTGGACCCTTATTTAAAAATTTAGAAATGGGATCAATCTAATTTACAAGCTTTTAAGTAAGTGTTGAAATTCACAAATTTTCAAGTACTAGATATACAAAGTCACAAATTTTCGAGTATCAAATGTACGAATCTGCAAATACCAGTCCCTCATAAATCTCCTAATTTCGTTCAAATTTTGAAGCAACAATTTCATCAAAATTTTAATGCCACTTGTTCCAAAGTACCTTGTTTCGCATCCTGAAAATTCTTCTCGTCCATGTACCAACTAACATTTATCGAATGAAGCGAAAATCTCGAGTCAGTTCTTTGAAAAGTGAGTATGACAATATTCCTAGTATCAACCGTGTCATAAGTAGCATCAGTCTTTTCTTGCCAGATTAATTTCATCGTAGATGTTGCGTTGTCGCAACTGCCCCCTGCATTAATATCCTTCGGTACAGTTAACGTCTTCACATTAGTCTGAAATAAACGATGATAATCGATAGTTGACGTACAAGATTATACATGTATACAAATGTATGACTTACCCCTGAACCGCTCTTGTCGTAAGATATTCGCAGTGAGATCGTCATGTTTGCTATGATGCAAGCTATGTCTGTTCCTCTCTTCATCACGAAGTAGGTGGATTTCTTGACGGATGGGTCAGGTTCGGGTGCAAGGGTCGTTGGTTCGGTCGGTGGCTCTGTTGGTGGTTCAGTCGTAGTTGTGGTCGTCGTAGTTGTGGTGGTCTCCGGTTCTTTCGGACAACCCTCGTCTAAAATTGATCAAAAGTAACGGTGAAGCTAACATGACTTATTCTGTATAGGACAATTCTGTATAAGAAGACTATTCTATATAGAACAATTCTGTATAAGAAGACTATTCTGTATAGGACAATTCTGTATAAGAAGACTATTCTATATAGGACAATTATGAACAATCGTCTGAACTAAATGGACAAGCCATAGTAACAACCCCTTGCACTATTCAGGTGCGTCAGAACTAATCATAGCAATATTGAAGCAAAGTCGAAATGTTATGTGACTTTGGTATCAATCGTTGACTAATTGTTCTTGAACTACTAATTGAAGATTATTAAAAATTTTAGTAAAATTGATTACGAAGTACGAGTACGTCAGAGTCATTGGACTTGAGCTACTAATTGAAGCTTATTAAAAACTTGAGTAAAATTGATCATGAAGTACGAGTGCGTCAGAGTCATTGGACTTGAGCTACTAATTGAAGCTTATTAAAAATTCGAGTAACATTGATCACGAAGTACAAGTGCGTCAGACTAATTAAACTTGAGTTACAAAATGGAGGTTATTAAAAACTCGAGTAACATTGATCACAAAGTACGAGTGCGTCAGAGTCATTGGACTTGAGCTACTAATTGAAGCTTATTAAAAATTCGAGTAACATTGATCACGAAGTACAAGTGCGTCAGACTAATTAAACTTGAGTTACAAAATGGAGGTTATTAAAAACTCGAGTAACATTGATCACAAAGTACGAGTGCGTCAGAGTCATTGGACTTGAGCTACTAATTGAAGCTTATTAAAAATTCGAGTAACATTGATCACGAAGTACAAGTGCGTCAGACTAATTAAACTTGAGTTACAAAATGGAGGTTATTAAAAACTCGAGTAACATTGATCACAAAGTACGAGTGCGTCAGAGTCATTGGACTTGAGCTACTAATTGAAGCTTATTAAAAATTCGAGTAACATTGATCACGAAGTACAAGTGCGTCAGACTAATTAAACTTGAGTTACAAAATGGAGGTTATTAAAAACTCGAGTAACATTGATCACAAAGTACGAGTGCGTCAGAGTCATTGGACTTGAGCTACTAATTGAAGCTTATTAAAAATTCGAGTAACATTGATCACGAAGTACAAGTGCGTCAGACTAATTAAACTTGAGTTACAAAATGGAGGTTATTAAAAACTCGAGTAACATTGATCACAAAGTACGAGTGCGTCAGAGTCATTGGACTTGAGCTACTAATTGAAGCTTATTAAAAATTCGAGTAACATTGATCACGAAGTACAAGTGCGTCAGACTAAATAAACTTGAACTACAAAATGGAGCTTACTAAAAACTCGAGTAAAATTAATCACAAAGTACGAGTCAAACTCATAAAAATATTGCAAGGGGTGGATTAAGATATAACTTATCAGACTACCCGTAAATTTCCTTAACTTACGAAATTACCTTGTCTCGTAGAAAGGTCATCATCGTCATTAAAAGCGATAAATGTGACGTTGCTTATGGTCATCTTCAAGCCCCCCGTCATGGGTATCCCATACTGTTCTTTCGTGCAGTTGTACATTCCATTAACCGCATTCGCAGCGAACAACGTCTCAGAGTCCCCTGACTCGCCGGATAATATTGTATCCTGCTCTAAAATTCATCAGGATGATTATGCAACACGAACACTGTGAAACGCGATATCAATCAAATCAATGACTTATACAAGTATATACGTATAAGGTACGTACTAATTGCGTCCGGAAAATCCTTTTTGTCCAAAGAAATTTCGGCTTCTATCTGATTCACGAAGAAGATAGTCGAGTTTCGACGTATGTAAAATAGAATTGACCTCCTTGTGGAGCCCGAGGACCAGTCTAAACGCATTGTTGATGCGAACTTTTCACATGTGCCGGTGGCTTTAAGCGGAGATGGCACAGATATAGGTTTGCTGTTGTTCTAATAATCGAAAATATTTGTTGTTTGTTATTGAGTTTTACAAATATCATTGTGTTCTACGCTTTACCTTATCGTTTGTTTCGTATTGCACGTCTATGGCGATGTTCATGCTCGCCAAAATGCAAGGTACGTCATCAGAGTTCTTTACAACGTACTTGAAGTCTTCCTCTTTAGGGCTGAGTTCTGATTTACAATCCACCGCTGGAAAGTTTGCAACATATTTGAGCTGGCGAAGATTTATGTCACGACTAATTTTTTATCGAAGTTCTAATTTTTATTTTTGAAGTTCAATAAAATTTACGGTACTTATGACAGAATTTGGAGAGGAATTATTATTTCGGGTTAATTGCAAACTATTATGAAACCATGATACCTGTCTTCTTCGAGAAATCGCTGTTAGTATCGAAGGCAACTAACAGCAGGTTGCTAACGTTCATAACAGAATTTTCTAAAGAAATAACTTTGTTCGCGCAACTGTACAGTCCATTTTCTGGCGCGATTAATTCCTGAAATATGATTGGCGAACGGTCCTTCAATCTTGTGCCTGTATGGAAAGCAATATGCAAGTCGTTAACCATTTGTCCAAATATATTACATTTCTACTTCTAAAAGAGAATTATTCTACGTACTAATAGAGCCAGGGAAATTTTTGCTGTCTGCGTATATGTCGTAGGTTATGCCGCTAACAAATGTTCGTCCATCCTTCATGAATACAATTGTAACCGAATTCTCCGTGTTTTCGGTAGCAAACGTTGATTGCTCTGTTGTTGATTCCGGCCAAGTTATGGTCATCGTAGTTCGTACTGCGCCGCACTTTCCAGTTACTGTTCTTTCACTCGGAATGCTTTTGATACCTTCTTCAACCTGTATTTGGAAGTGTTTGTGGAATAAGATAAAATTAGATGTTGATATTCGAAATAAGAATGTTTTGAATTTCGAATTATTGGAGTAATTAGAGAGAGGATTGAGTAGAATTAGAATTCACGGTGACATTACTAAATGTCCTGATGAAGGCAAGATCTATAGCGGTATAACGCTTGGTGATATAACGTGTGGTAATTTAACATGTGGAGATATGACATGTATAGCTATCTAACATGTGAGGATGTAACATATAGAAATGTAACATATGGTAAAGTAACGCGTGGCAATCGAATGCGTGGAAATACAACACATGGCAATATAACGTGTGGTGATGTAACGCGAGGTAATCTAACGTGTCGAGATATTCCATTCATGCAAATCTAATATGTGAGGATGTAACATATAGAAATTTAACATATGTTAAAGTAACGCGTGGTAATCGAATGCGTGGAA